TTTTTTTAAAATTCTCAATGCTTTGAATTTACCAATTCCTATCGTTCTTTGAATTTCTCTGCTGGATACGTTGGGATTTGCGACAACAAAAGCTAAAGTATTGATTTCATCATTTTCTCTATTCTGTATATTATAAGATTTAGCTCTCGGTTTTTGAAAAGAACCAAACTCACACAAATTATCATAGAGTCGGCTAAAAATTCTCTTTTCTGGCTGATGACGCTCTGGGTATCTCTCCAAATATAAGTTTAAAGCTGTGTCACTATTTTTTTCACTTTCAATGTAACACTCTAACATTTGAACTTTGTGAAGATTTTCGTACACCATTTTTATACTTTTCAAAATTAAAACCAAGTAATAGACGTTTAACAAGCTTTCAATCAGTCAAAAATAAACTAACTGTCAATATTAAACAACAAAAGACGAATAAATAAATAACATGGCCAACTGAAAAAATATCTATATCTACATTTTTGCATTTTTCTTCATTTAGGCAAATAAAAAGTATCTATTATTATATATGGCTGAAAAGGTAAAAAAAATGCTACTCAACGGGATGGCCAAATACAGGGTATTCTATTTAAAAAAACCTATGTTTATGCAATATCGGAGAAACTGTGCGATTTGTAAAAAATCTGAGTACGCCAATGGCTTCCTAATAAAAAATAGAACAAATAATGTGCACACTTTTTTCTTCTAAATTGATTGACAACGGAGATAGAGGTTAATGTAAATGGGCCATTTTTCAAAAAAAACCCTGTATATCTAAAACTAATCAAGTTAGCCAAGATCTTTTGAGACCAGCGAAGTAAACTCAAAAAAAGAGGACGGGACATCGATATCAAATTTTTCGTATCTATCACCGTTTTGGCTGTACCCTATAAAACTATCGAAAATCAACCACCCTGTACATTACCATGTTACCAAATTTTTAAATTCTTCGGAGCAGTACTTCTCTGGACATCGATCGACGCAGTTCACGGTGGGACACCCTGTATTGTGAGTGCTCCTGATCTGTACCTGATGAATTTAGGAAAGGAAGGAAAATTTGAGTTTCTCAACCAACTGGTACAGCATATTATTGAGTTCTAAGAATAAAATCAACTAATTATGCCTCTAATCGTTTCTCTGAAGATACGTGTTTATTTAAATATCACCAGAAACCTTCATTCTTGTCCAGCGTCAAGTTCCCCAGGTTTCTCGATATTGTCCGATCCACCAGCCGAAGCAGCTAAATCCAACGCCGTACGACCATCATTGTCCGTAATGTTACAATCCGCACCACTTGCTATGAGATATTCGACAATGTCCAATTTACACCCACCAGCAGCCAAATGAGGCGTCGTGAAATCTTTATCGCCTTCAACCTTAACACTTGCTCCGTGCGTCGCGAGATATTCGACAGCGCGTAATTTACATCTGTTGGCCGCTATGTGTAAGGGCGTGCGACCTCTTTCGTCTCCCACGTTAACCTCCGCATCGTTTGCTACGAGGCACATCACAGAGTCCAACTGGCACCTACTAACAGCTACGTGCAAGGGCGTGCGACCTCGATTGTCTTTAGCGTTGACATTTGCTCCGTGCGTCACAAGGTGTCCCATAGCGTCCGGATCATGCACATCGGCGGCCGCATGCAACGGCGTGCGACCTCTGTGGTCGGTAGTCTTAACGTCCGCACCCTGCTCCGTTAGATATTTAACGATGTCCAGAAAACCTAGTTTAACGGCAGTATAGAGTGCCGTGTGGCCTTTATTGTTCCTAACGCTAAAATCTACGTTCTTTCCCGCAACGTTAACGTCAGAGTTCGCACTTTCGTCTTCGTCATCGTCATCCAAACACATCACTACCGGGCTGGGAGTGTTACCTCTGGAGTTGACGAGTGCGACGTGTTCCACGAGACACTTTACCGTGTCTAAGTTACTACAAATAATAGCCGTGTGCAGAGGCGTGTCACCTAGAACGTCTCTAACGTTGACGTCCGAGCCTTGCTCTATTAAGAACTCCATCATCTCCAACTGGCCAGTGCTGCAAGCGCTGTGCAGTGGTGTATCTCCGCATTCGTTTCTAATGTTTATTCCGGCCTGTCGCACGAGGATTTGTAAACTTTTCAGCGTGTTAGTTTTCTCCTCCCTTTTAAGGTATTTCGTGCTAACCGTTTTACCTCTAATAATTCTGAAATCTATGGCTTTTAGGATGAGCTTCAAAATCGACACGCATCCTTCCGTCGAAAGTTGGAAAATGAGATATGAACCGGTATGATGCGTGGAGGCGTAATAACTTTTAAAAATACCAGAAGGTAAATCGTCTACAGTTTCCCGCAGTAAATTGTCCAAGAAAGCGCGGACAACTTCGAGTTTAGTACTTTGTAACACCACGTCGATGAAGAACCTCTGAAACTCGACTTTCGGATTGTTAAGTCGCAACTCTCGTAATATGCTTGCGGCGGCAAAGTATTCAGCGAATGTCCTGTGCACGAACTGGAATCCGTCGGACGATCTTTGCACGATTCCTATATCTAATATGAATTCTTCCATGTCTTCGTCGCCTACGCAGCAACTTGTGTGCGAGTCTACATTTGTATCATTGAAGATTATCTGTACGGCAAGTCTGCCGTGGCAAACAAGAGACTCCTTAAATTGGTTGATGAGCGCTTGGTTTGTTATTGTGCTTCTGCTAGGATTCTCCTTGTGCAGGAAGACGTCGAGTTTTATTTTTATAAAAATTTCATATAATCTTGCGATATTCATTTTTTTGGGAAACTTTGGTTCTGCTCCGTCTCCGCTCAAGTACTCCTTACACCCTTCCCAATCCGTCGATCCCATCCACATTAGATTTTCTTGAAAGATCGCCGCCATCATCCTCACTTGCAGGGGAATCGCGGCGAAGGGGTTTCTTGAGAGACCCTGGTAGTGATGCATCCACAAAGTCATTTTGTCTATTAGTTTGTTCGCGTACCGCTTAATTCTATCTTGTTTCGTGGCGTCCAACTGCAAATTGCTTGACCAACACCTTGTAAGGAGGTCTACCTGGTTTGATCTCGTCAAAGGGAGCATAGTAAAAAGACTGTCAACTTTCAAAACTGCTTTCAATTCTCCAGTCATGTGGGGCCTCGTGGTCACGAAGATTTTTTTAAAGTTGGAATCTTCCTGGCACCAATATAGTAAACGGATTATCATGCCGATGTAATTGGGGCTGATTTCATCAACCCCGTCCAACATTAGAACTACTTTTTCGTTCATCGAAAAAACGAACCTTTCGAAACAATTCGACAGTTTAGTGGCTTCCCGAGAATCCAACAGTTCTACGCGACTGATCGTGTCTGTGCCCCTTTCCAGTGAGTCCCTTAAAACGCTCGCATAGTCGTTGAGGTTGATCCTAATAACCCAAAAGTGGGGATACTTTTCTTTTATACAAGCCGCCATGTTGGTGAGGACGGTGCTCTTGCCCATCCCGGCGCTATCCGATATTACTATCATTTTTCCTTCTACATCGAAAACGCTTTCCTCCGAGAAAGTTTCGCGTTCCTTCTGCGTCCCGTCGACGTCTCTCTCGAACCTGCGACGTACGTAGTGCCCAGCAGTGTCCTCGTTCAAATCTAAAGGTCGTAACCCCACTTTGATTTCCTCCCCTTCGATTAATTTCTCCAACATTGCACGGTCGAAAGATTCCGCGTAATCCTCGATCGTATGCGGCGCTAGTAGCTCTTCTAGACTGATAGTTTTACCCTGAAACATTACGATTCTGTTCTTCAGCAACCTGTCCTGAGAATCCTTGGAGAGGTCTGCGAACTTTTCGGATACTTCGACTTGGGAAATGTCTGTCAGTTCGCTGTTGCTCTGAGCAACCAATATAACCTTCTTGAACGGTTCTCTTTCTAATATTTCCTTCAATTGCCCAATTATTTCTCTTCTTACGATTTCGTTTTCAATTTTGTCCCAAACCATTATGAAGTAGGTATAGCGGCGTAGATTAAAGGCTTCCACTGCCTGCTTCTGCACTTCGATAGACTCAGCGGGATTCACATACAGTTTTCTACATTTATCGTTCTGTAGGGCATTGAATATTTTCAACGTCGGTAACAAACACCCTCCGTCAGACTTGACGTGAAATATTCTACTCGAACCCGTGAACTCCATCTGGTTGCGTTCAAAATCCACGTTGTAGTTTTTTAACGATTCACAATACTTCTCGCTTTTTATTTCGCACAGCATCGCTTTAACTCTAAATTCAGTCAAATGTTCACCAGTTAGTTGCTGGAACCAATCTTCTACTTTCCTATAGATTTCGTGGTAGGTTATCCCACACCACAGTTTGGACTGATTCAAGCGGGACAGTAACTGGTCGATGATTTTCTCCAATGCTTTTCCGTTTGGATAACCGGAGAAAATTTGTAAATTCCCCAGAAACTCCTCCATATTTTCTTTCGATATAACCGTTTCATCAATGCCCTTTCCTTGCAAATTTTTGCCAAGGTAAGCCACAGCACTACCCCCCAATTCGGACAGGACATTTTCATTAATATTAATTGTATGATACTTAGCCCCTTTGTAATACAACATGCTGTTACAATCAACCTCATGGGGAGCTAAAACTGTCTCCAAGCCCTTCGGATTGATTTCTGCGTTAGTGCAGATAATAACTGTCTTTGATCCAAATTTTTCGGCAATCTCGATATACGACAAAAAGTATTTGGGAAGACTAAAGTCGACGTTTTTGGAGTTGCTCGAAAATAGTTGGTCCCTGGTGACTTTCTTGGTGTGTTTGGATTTGGCCTGCAGCAGAACGCTTCGGCCAGGCAGTTCCAATACGAGGTCGTCGTATTTTCCCGCGGCCGGGTTTTCCGAAGAGATTTTCCAGTCTTTATGGTTGTGATAGGCGTTCAATAAAAACACAATCACAAGGTCCAACTGAAACTGCACTCCTCCCAAGCCGGCATCCCCTTTACTCTTCTTGTAATTCTGTTCCATCTTCATCGCAGATTAATTCTGTAAAAAATGTAAGTACATCTGTTAATACACCTTCTGACAAGTGTAGTTAAATATGTTTTACATTTAACACCGAATAAACTAATCAAGAGATTAGCCAATTAATAGTGGTAGAAATAGTTTTAATAATAAAATTAGCAAAGAAAGCCGACCGATCCAATTTATTTTGAAGATTTTAGTAGTAGAGACTAGAGATTTACGAACAAGTGTTTTACAATATAGTGCTCATCGTTAATTGAAATTTTAAAATGTATACACTTTAAATATTCTTGCAGAGAAGGGCTTTCTGGTAAATATAAATATATTCTGAGTATATAAAATTAATTTAGAGTTAACTTTTTCTCTAATATGATTTAAATGTAATTATTATTGAGTCATCTTTTACTTAGACTTGCTTTTTAATTAACTAAATATTGAGTGCAAAAATAAATGATTCATTAAGATATACAGTGTTGAAATTAATTCACTTCGCGGGGTCTCCTCCTGTCCTTGCTGAGACCCGCCAGCTGAGACCCACCGCAGCCGGAGTACCTATATTTGAGTGAAAGTACTCAGTTTTAGTTTAAATACATATAATCACAAATAAGTAAAATGATCAAAATGCCTAATATTGAGTGAAAATGTATTCAGTAATTTCACTCCGAACTTTTATTGCTTTCACTCACACCGATTTTTTCTACAGTGCAAGATTATCTGTTTGATATACAAATTATTGAGGATAACGCAAACGAAGTCTATGGTAAGCAAAAATTATTATTAATTTCTGAGTTTATCTTTATCAAACGATCGCATTTAATCTTAAAAGTTCTATAAACCGATAAAAGCACGTAATAAATACTTTTATCTAGAAAAGATTAAATTTATCAGTGATGAATCCGCTTTACACATTTGGAAGAAACAATACATTACACTGTTGCATAATTTCGGTGTTTAAAAAAACCTCTAAAAATTGTATGAAATTGCGTAAAAATACTGCGGCTGTTCCTGTAAATGCATAAATCTCCTCGTCATTGATTAACATGATTAAATAATGTAACTGTTTATGTATAAAGTTGTATTAACTAATTAAATATCGTCTTTCAGATTTAGATACAAAATTACTGCCACACTCACCTTTGTCAAAATTACAAAGAATTACTGTCACAATAAAAACAGAGTTGTCTACTGAAATACGCCTTGACAGTACTTTGTTTCGCGACATGCCACTTGTACTTATTGCGGCTGCCGCCTACTAAAAACAAATGAACGCTATTCTGGCTGGATTAGAAATAATCGTACTGAGAGTGCGGTGACTAATCAAATCCATGACACCACAGTTTGCTCAACGTGACTCGTAGTTAGGCAACTAAACTTACACCAGTCAATTTAATAAAATAATAAATAAAAGTGACTGATTTGCGTTATTAATAAATATATTAAAAAGAAATTGGTCCAGATTTGAACCTTGTGGAATTCCTGAAGGTACTATAATATTTCATGAGAACAAAAATTTTGAATAATAATAAACTTGTTTCTCTTGAATATATGAATATATTAAAAGATCTGAGAAACCACACTTAACTTGGAAATAAGCGGTTTATGGTTAATTTTATCAGAAGTCTGTGTAAATGGCGTCTACTTGCTCCTTCCTCTCCAATGCTTCAGACAAGAAGAAAAATTATGGGAGTATTGTGAATTAGTCGTTTAATGTAATCACAAATTAATGACAAACATTTTACTAGGTATAGTATTTATTTAATATACAGTGTGTCCCCGGATAAGGTACCGCACTCTTGTAAACTTTTTTATCGTCGACTTTTCGAGGAAAAGTTATTCTTGATATTGCTTATCTTGGGAAGCCATGGGCAGTAATCAAATATATAACAAAACATAGAGGGCGTTCAAAAAATTTCAAAATGTGGATTTACTCTAAGCAAAGTGCTTTCAATTTTTGTTTTCGTTAAAAACTGTATTTAGTTAAAGTTTAGTCTAAAAAGAAGAATAATCACATTTTGTAAATAAGAAGATGCGATTTTTAACTATTTAAACTTAAAGCAGACAGAAATTGTAAGAAATAAATAAAACTTTTATTTTAAATTTAATAAAATAGCTTGGTATAACAATTTGGGGGCTGGTTGCCACGTCGTCGGTTTAGGTTTCTTGACGTTTCGAGAGATATATCGCTCTCTATTTCAGAAGTAACTCTGAAAGTTTTCGAGTTTTTTTGAAAAGAGAAATAGGTATGTGTCTCTGTCTCGAAACATCAAGTAACCTAAACCGACGCCGTGGCAACTGGCCAGGCAAATAGCTTTTTCTTGAAAAATCAACAATAAAAAATTGCGGTCGACACACTGTATTGTACAAATAGTCCAAGCATTCTGTCTCGGCTTAATGTTAAATTTGCAGAAATTATTACCTGGACAAAAAAAATATGACCGTATAGGAAATTAAATTTTAAATTGAGTTTCTTTTTCTTTAAATTCGATCCGAAATGGCGAACATGGTTAAAAAAAATCACAAAACTGTAAAATCCGGTTTTTCCAAAATAACAAAAAATATAGCACCTATTGAAAAATAAGAGAATAAGAAATCAAGAGAGTCTTCGTTAATTTCGATGTTTCGAGTTTCAAGCGCATCGCTGTAAAATGTTAAATTGCGTCTCGAAATTTTTTTAAATAAAAAATTTATCTCGGCTCCAGAAGGTCGTAGAAAAACATTTTTTTTTAATTCGTAAAAAAATGTCAGCAGTTTCTTTCCTTAAAAGTCATTTTCATAAAATAAAAATTGAAATAAGTCATTTGAAAAAAACATACTCAAAAAAAGTACAACTTTTTCAGTCATTTTTTGATTGATTTCAAAAAAATATATATCGAAAAATAATTAATATTTTGAAATTTTTTAAAAATGTACTTTTTTTATTGCCGCGGGTTATGCCTGCAGTAAATAGCAAGTATGGAAACGTAAATGTAAACGAGTTATAGAAGAAGATTTTTAACAGTTTTTTCGATATATCTCGAAAAGTAACAAAGCAATCGATACTTACAAAAAATCAATCGATAGATCTTTTTAAAACCTACAACTTTCTGAAATTTTTCAATCGGTGCTATATTTTTTTAGTTATTTTAGAAAAACCGATTTGCGATTTTTTAACCATGTTCGCCATTTTGGATCGAGTTTAAAGAAATTTTTAATTTCCTATACGGTCATATTTTTTTTGTCCAGGTAATAATTTCTGTAAGCATTTCTCTATAATGCTTGAACAAAATGGATCTGTAATTTTCTATCTCTGTTTTAGTACCTGACTTAAAAATAGGAGTAATGAAACTCACAGAAAAAGTGTTTAATAATTCTTTATACTGGTGTCAATTACTATTTCGAAATAATTATGGGAAGCATGGATTTTCCTAAAACCTCTTGAAATTACTTGGAGATAAGTATTAGAAAAGAGTTATAAATTTATTTTTGTACGCTAATTGTTTTTTAATTGGTTAAACAATAATAAATAGTTTTTTAAGAACATTTAAAATAATTCAATGAATTTTAAATCGAATTCTTTCAAATTGACAATATAGGGGTTTTCAATGTCGTTGAACAGGAATATAAAGTCGGAAAATTAAAATTCAAAATGGCTGATCCAATATGGCCGACTATTTTAAACAATTTATTTAACAATTTTCGATTTTAAATAAAACTCGCTCATATTTGTAATATAGAGGTCCAAAAATGAAAATTATAAATGGCTAAAGAGGTTTCATTGAAAATATGTTTTATTTTTTAAAAAACAAATTTATTACAAAATAATTAATTTTTAAATTTCATCGAGTTCTTGCTCCTCTTCAAAAATAACTGGGCAATTAAGGCTATGAGCCAATAAAATTGAAAAAAAACTGATTTTAAATACAAAATTACAAAACCAAAATCAACGTCCCCTATTATTTATTTATTCATTAATTATTTTAAAAATGGTTCAATATTCATATACAAATATTAAACTCATACATTTACAGGTTTAGCATAAAAGAAAACGAATATAAATACCTTAAATGCAAACTGAAGATTATTTGTAATATTAGTAATAATATAATACATTAAAGAATTACAAGTTACGCGAGTAGGTATAACCTCAAAATGGGCAAAATATGTGAATAATACACTTTTTAACACACTTATAACTGCAGCTTACTCGAAAACATAAAAATCATATTCTTATACCATTTATAATAATTATTATTTAATTCTTATAATAAACGAAAAACGCTTTTAAAATAAATAAAAACTGTAAGTAACAAAAAAATATTTGGTGTGCTCACTGCTTTTAGCTTCGTCACCGAAACTTACATATCCCAAACTCACATCAATAAGAGAACTTATATTCACAATTTCAGATACAGAATATACGTTTTAAAAATGAATATTAAATCAATTAATCAAAAGAAACGTTATTTTTTTGCTGTTATAACAATTTTCCACTTATTACTATAAATAAAAAAAATATTTTTAGCTGGATTTACTTTTTTTAAGGTCTTAGCTTAATTCTTTGATGGTTTATTAAACAAAGAAGAAAATTTTTTGTACATTATTAAACTTTATTTAATAAATTTCACGGATTTTTCATGAAATATTTTTATTTTTTGTTATTTTTTGTTTTTTCAACTATTATTTAAATTTTTTAAGAAAAATAAAATGCGTCATCTTAAAGTAGAGATTTTAAGCTTTAAAAAGTGCAATAATAAAGTTTCAAAAAAGTAAAATTTGTGAATTTTTAAAACTATTGAATATGTTGGGCTCAATATTTTTCAAATTAATTTTTTTCCATATCGCTCACTGTTTCAATTGTCATTTGAAGAGTAATCTATGAAAGTTAGATATTTATTTAAAAAATTAAAAGAATGACAGCCATTTTAATATTATTGTACAAAATTATTGAATGACGTAACTTTGTATACGTACTATATATTTTTTTTTCTCAAGTTTAAAGACATAAAATTTTGATAGCCGGATAACTCTTCCTTCATTTAAATTTTTGCGAGGTCAATTTGATCAATTAGATCAAAAGTTATACCAAGTTTAGTGTAGCGCGCTCGGGGCCGCGCGCTCTTCGAGAGCTATACTTGGGGGCCGCCGGTCTCATTTTTCGTACGTTAGAAAAAAAAACTCATTTTAGAAAAAAACTATTATTTTTTAATGTAAAATTTTCCGTTCTTTCGAATGGCGCAGTTAATTTTTTTTTAAATTACATTTTTTTATGTATTTTGCAAAAACTGTAATTTTGCAACTAATTTGTTGGTAACTTTTTATATGTCGTTTCTGACAACTTTACAAAGCGAAAAATAAAAAGTTCTCTCGTCCAGTAATTTTCGCGAAGTCAAAATCTATCTTGACTCCACTATTAAGGGTCTGTTCCAAAAGAGTCAGGGATTGGTTCCAAACCGTCAGAAATGTGCATCCAACTAATTCTTGCGATATATTCACTGAAGACACATTTAAAACTTAGCTGGCCAAACATTTCAAACGGTTCGGAACCAATCCCTGACTCTTGTTGGAACAGACCTTAAGTCAAAATTATTTTCTAAACAGCGTACCCAATTTCCCCCAATAATTACCGCTACTTGCAGAACCAACATCCACACCGATCTGCTGGAGATACCTGACGCCACTGGCATCTCTGATAACGTCGACATCCGCACCGCACTCTACGAGGTAGTTTACGGTATTAATTTTATTCTCCTGAATAGCAAAATGCAACGCAGTACGGCTACGACCATCCGTAGCGTTCACGTCGACACCGGCGCCCACCAAACGCCTGACGGCACCCAACTTGCCCCACCGTGCGGCGTGGTGAAGCGCCGTACTGCCCGAGCTGTCTTTAAAGTTAACATCCACGCCACATCCCACGAGATACTCCACAACATCCAAGTGACGTTTCTTACAAGAAAACTCAATGGCAAAGTGCAGCGCCGTCCTTCCCCGACGGTCCCTGTCGTTGACGTTCACGCCGCATTCCACGAGGTACCCGACGATGTCCAGCTTACCCTCCTCGGCGGCAAAGTGAAACGGCGTGCGATCGTCGACATCTCTAGCGTTAACGTCTCCCCCGTGCTCCGCCAGGTACTTGACGGCGTCTAATTTACCCCCCTTGACGGCGAAATGCAGGGGAGTGTGCTCCTCGCTGTCTATAAGGTTCACGTTGGCACCCTTCTCCACGAGGTCTTCGACGATGTCCAGTTTGTTCCACAGAGCGGCAAAATGCAAGGCCGTACGTCCGTCGCTGGTCCTGTCGTTGACGTCGACGCCGCGCTCCACCAGGTACTTCGCGATGTTCAGCTTGCCCCACTCCGAGGCTAGGTGCAGCGCCGTGGAGCCCTTGTCGTCTTTGACGACCTCCACGCCGCTTTCCGCCAGGTATTTCTCCGTGTTCAACTCGTTCCGTTGGACGTCGGCATTTACGGAGTCGACGGTTATGTTCACCTCTTGAAGGTAAAACATAGTTCTGTACTTCCACCCAGTGGCAAAGTGCAACGCCGTGCTCTCCCTGCGATCCTTAATGCTGAGATCGGTGTCGTCTTTCACGAAGTATTTTATAACGTCCAACTCGCTTCTCTGCGCGGCCAGGTGTAGCGCGGTGCGACCATAGTTGTCCCTGATGCCGACGTCCACGCCGAGCCCGACGAGGTACTTGACGATCTCCAGGTGGCCTAAAGAAGCGGCGAAGTGCAGCGCGGTGCTCCGGTCGTGGTTTCTGATGTTGACGTCGGCGCCTTGCTCGATTAGGTACTTGGTCATCTCCCAGTGGCCCCGTTTTACAGCGTGGTGGAGCGGCGTGTCCCCGTTCTCGTCTTTAACGTTGACGCCGGCCTTTCGCGTAAGGACCTGCAAGTCGTTTAGGGCGTTGCTCTTCTTGAGTTTTACTTTAACGCGCCAATCTCCCACGTTTATGTCTTTTCCTGTGATGATTTTGAAGTCTACGCTTTTCAGGACGAGGCGGAGCGTCGCTACGCATCCCTCTCCGGCGAGTTTCAACAGGAGGTTAGAGTCGGTTTTATACGCGAACGATTTGTAGCATTTGAAGATATTAGCCGGAAAGAAGTCTACGACTCTTTGTAGGAATCTGTCGAGGAAAACCCGTACGACAGCGAATTTGCTCCTCCGTAATATTTCGTCGATCAGGAATCTCTGAAACGCGAGGTTGGGGCTTCGACTTTGCAGCTCTCTCAGTATACAATCGGCGACGAAGTATTCTGCAAACGTTCTGTGCACGAATTGGAACTCGTCGCTGGATTTTTGCACGATCCCTATCTTCAGGGCGTACTCCTTCATGTTTTTGTCGCTCTTGCAGCAATTCGCGAACAAATCGAGTTCGGATTCCCTCAGGACGATTTCCAAGGCGAGGTTGCGGTGGTAGCAAAGGCTTTCGTCGAACTGGTCGACCAGCGCTAGGTTCGCCGCCGTGTTCCCGCTCGGATTCCCTTTGACGATGAACACCTCTCGCTTCTTCTCGATGAACATGTCGTACAGTCTGGCGATGTTGAACTTTTCGGGCAGTTTCGGTTCGGGATCGTCCCCGGTCAAGTGCTCTTTGCACCCCTTCCAATCCTCCGACTCGTTCCGCCAAATATTCTCCTGGAATATCTCCGCTAGCATCCTGACCTGCAAGGGCAACGCCGTGAATTGGTTTTCCCAGTACCCGTACGATTTTATCCACAGAGACATCTTATCTATCAGCGCTTCCGCGTACCGTTCGCATTTATCTTTGTCGGCATCGTTCAGCTGGAAGTTGTATGTCCAGTATTTCGTGAGGAAGTCGACTTGGTTCGACCTGGTAAACGGCAGCATTGTAAGCGGTCTCACCCGTAAAATCCCCTTCAAACGCTCCGTTATGTGCGGTCTCGTGGTTACGAATATTTTAGCAAAGTTAGGGGCTTCTTGGCAGTGAGCGAGCAGCCCGAATATCAACCCCGTGTAGTCCGGACTGATCTCATCCACTCCGTCCAGCAGTAGAACGACCTTCCCGTTCATCGAAAAAACCAGTTTCTCGAAACGATTCGACAGCTTGGTGTGCTCTTTGGAGTTCAACAGCTCCGTTACGCGTATCGTCTTCCTGTACTTCCTCAACGAATCGTTTAGGATCTTCGTGTAAGCGTTGAGGTTGATCCTGATCACCCACAAGTGGGGGTTCTCGTCTTTTATGGCGACGGCCACTTTAGTGAGGATCGTGGTTTTGCCCATGCCCGCGATGTCCGAGATGAGCATCAGCTTTTCGTCCTCGAAAAAAATGCGCTCCTCCGGAAAAGTTTCTTTCATCCTACGACTCTTTATCTCGGCCTCCGTTTTATTGATTTCCCTTTCGAAAGTGCGATGGACGTAGCACCGAGCCGTTTCCTCGTCCAAATCCAAAGGCCGCACCCCCACTTTAACTTCCTCCCTTCTAACCAGCATGTCCAACATCGTACAGTCTAGGGATTTCGTATAATCTTCGGTCGTACGCGTTACGAGTAGTTCTTCTAGGCTGATCTTCTCGCCTTGAAACGTTATATTTTCGTTTTTAAGCAGTCTCTCTTGCGAATCCTTGGAGAGGTCCTCGAACGTTACAGACCCGTCGACTTGAGAAATATCGGGCAATCCAATGTGCTGAATTAGTGTGTTGTTATTCTCGGCAACTAAAATAACTTTCTTGTACTTGTTTTTCTCCAATATTTCGCTTAGTTTACCGCTTATTTCCTTTGTAGAAGCTTCGTCCATGATTCCGGTGCAAGGCATTACCAAAAAGGTGAAACGGTGGAGGTTGAAGGCTTCTATCACCTCCTTTTGCACTTCGGGACCGTCATTGGGATTCACATAGAGTTTTCTGCTTTTGTTGTCTTCCAGGGCACGGAAAATTTTTAACGTTTGCAATAAATAACCGCCTTCGGTCGTCACGTGAATTAACCTTCTCGTATCCGTGAAGCCGAGATCGTTACGCTTAAACGATACTTTGTAGTTCTTCAACGATTCGCAGTACTTGTCGCTCTTTATCTCGCAAAGCATTTCTTTAGCGCGAATTTCCGTCAGATACTCTCCCTTCGGTTGCTTGAACCAATCCTCTACCTTCCTGTAGATTTCGTGATACGACGTTTCGCTCCATAAACTTGATTTGTCCAAACGAGACAATAACCGTTCGATGATTCTGTGCAGTTCGTCCCCGCTGGGAAAATTGGGGAAGATTTGTAGATTTTCCAGGAAATCCGAAATGCTTTCCTCCGTTATTAACGCTTTGTCAATGCCTTTGCCTTGCAAATTCTTCTTGAGGTAAATTTTCGCGCTTGCTTTCAAATCGGGTAAAACGTTGTTATTGAAGGTAAAAAATGTACAAGCGGCCCCCTGGTAGTGCAGCATGCTGTCGGGACCGACACGATGGCAAGTTAAAGCACTCTCTAAGCCTTTCGCATCGATTTCCGTGTTGGTGCAGATAATAACGGTCTTCTCTCTGAATTTAGGAGCGATCTCAAGATACGACAAAAAGTATTTAGGCAGGCTAAAGTCGGCGTTTTTGGAGTTGCACGAGAAGAGTTGGTCCCTGTTCACCTTCTTGTTCTGCTTGAATTTGGCCTGCAACAAGACGTTTCTGTCGGGTAGTTCGAATACGAGATCGTCGTATTTTCCCGCGTCTTGGTTCTCCGAAGAGATTTTCCAGTCCTTGCGGCTGTGGAAGGCGTTCAGTAAAGACACGGTCAGCAGATCCAACTGAAATTGTATCCCTTCGAGGCCGGCGTTGCCTTTACTTTTCTTATATTTATCCCCCATATTCTCTTCGAAGTGAAGCCTGCAAAAACTTCGTATTAGCACAAAGGGTGTCTCGTTTATACTTTAAAAGGGGGGGGGGAGGGATGGTGAGTTTGTTTAGAAAAAATAGTGCCTAAACCATATACTTTGTGCCAAATGTTAAAGTACAACAATTATACTAAAGTTAATTTCGCAATTCAAGTTAACTGTAAAAAATCTTCTGTTTTAAAACAGAACTAACTATTTTAAACGGGTGTTTGTTGCTGCGCGCGACGTCATTTAGTGCGATCGCTAATCGAAAGATCGAATGAAAGTAATAAGAGTGTAGAGACGCGTTCTCGTTCGCACTCAATGACATCACAATACAGTATCGATCACCTGATAAAATTAACATTTTTACATAACTTTAATTAAATATCTATAATTAGTATTATGAGAGAAATTATTTTCTACTAATGTTGTCTGTTATAGATTACAAATTTATGTTGTTCTCAAAGAAATTAAACTTTTGTGAGTTTGAATGAACAAAGACGCAAAAATATTGAAAAGAAACAGACAATATAAGCTGAAAAGTTATGACATGTACGGTTCAGAAACTGGGTAATGTATTGAGATCAGCATTCCAGTTTTAAACGCTCAATGAAAACTGAGGAAAGACACGGTTACCGAGTGTGGAATAAATAGTCCAATTTTTCTTAAAGTTGACGATTTCTCGAAAATAATATATTTTACCAAGTAGATATGTTAGTACTAGTACATAATTGTGTTATTCGAGATTATAACTTATTTCTAAACTGTAGATGATATAAATTAGCGTATTTTGAATAGATTGATTATTATTTTATAACATAATTAATTCCAAAGGAATTTTCATTTTCATTATTTGCAATGCAGGAGTTTAACCTTTGCTTCGTGCTTAGGATAGGTTCTTTTATAAACGCATTTTGTTTTGGTAATTATATGTCTTTTCGGTAGCGTCGTGTTCCTCAATTCTGTATCATTATTTATTTTTTGCTCACTAATTTGCGAATAACTTATAAAAAAAAAAATTATTGAAGTATTTCTGGCGTCAAAATGTAGCTATTTTTGTGTTCTTCAAACTAACCTATAAAAAAGTTCTGTCCTGCTAAACAACCTAAAACTTGGATAAATGGCGCGAATAAATAAACAACACTTTCGTTAGAAATTTCAAATTCATTTATGTAAAGAAAGCATTGCATTTAAAATTTTTGAGAAAAATCCATAAAACGGGATTCTTTTGAAATATCGTCATTTATAGGTTCCCATATTGAGGTAAATGACATTACCAATACGAGATAAAGTATGAAAAGACCTTTCGAACGAGGTATAACGCTATGGGCGTTTGATGAACCAATCCTTAAAAAAATGCATTTTTCTGATCAGACATTAGGGGCTTCCCCCACCCTTTCTGTCGAAAGATAGAACAAAATGTCAAGAACAAAAGTTATGCGCAACGAATCATCCGGCTATTTAATATACCTGAATAGGAAACATTTCTGAGAAAAATTCAAGTCTATTTTAGTACGTAGATTGTGCCTCCTAGCGGCCGAGCTACGAACTTGAAAACTATTTCCGGCGATTTCTCTTGGTTGATTTATTGATCCAAATATTTTTCCTGAAGTTCTAGGGCTTACCGTATATTTACACTTTTTTGTTATATGGCTTCTATATTCAATAAAAAAATTCGAAATATGTTTGTTTTTTGTCACATTTATTTAAATATCTCGTAAGGTGTTTGACATAGATAGATGAAATTTAGGCTAATGATTTAACAAATTATGGGAAACATACATAGAAACTACAAATAGAAAAAGTTAAAGGAATTTTTTGTTGGAAATACAAATTTGAATTACAAAGTAACCATCAGAAGCCAAAAAAATTGTAAATGTAGTTAATTTAAATTTTTTGCATCTTTCACAAATTAAAAATTTCTTAACCAATAATTTTTTAAATTATAATTACACTGTAATTAAAATTGCGTTTTCAATAAAACAAAATCCTTATACATTTGTTCATGTCGGAGTTATTTCCAATTTATTCAAATGTCATAGCCTTATTGAGTGAGGAAACTTTCCTCACTCAACGGTCAAAGGTTTACTTTAAATTAAAAACAAAATAATTGAGAAATTGTTTTTCAAATGAGATATATTTTTCTTAGAATTACCAAATTGACAATTTTGAGCCCTTTGATGGCATTTCGGACCAAATATCATAAAAAAATATTTGTTAAAAATACATATCTCCTGTTTGACACCATGTTTTACAATTAGAAGCACATTGTATCAGTAGGTACGTAATTTGTGATTTTGTCTCTTTGCAACAGATTTGCAGTAAAAAACAAATGAACAGTAATTGTTTTCATTATTAATACCTATTGTTACAATACTTCTCAAAAACTACAAAAAAAAAATATTGAAAAAAGCTTACTTACCTACGTCAATATCAAGACAATTTGGAATCAACAGTCTCTTCTTCTTGTGCCGAACGGTTCTATGGTTATTTTTAGGTTTACCTGTGAAAAGAATGATATCAATTATAAGATCTCATAAAATAAATGTATTCATAAATTTTTGTCAAGATTCACTGAGTTTATGATTGTTTACCAAGCAAAAATTTTCAAAATATTAAATGAGCATTTAAAGTGCGATGAAATATTCAAAAAATTAAAAAACTATCTCGGAGTTTATTTTCTTTATTTGTTTTTCAATCATATGGATGATATACTTATTTGCTGTTTTCCTTTTACAAAAGCAACATGATTGATGATTCTGTCAAAAGTCATCATCATCATAATACAGAAAACCTTGTACAGGGTGTTCGGAAACTAACGTGATAAACGAAGACGACAAATTTAGAGATGATTTCATATCGATTTGATAAATGGTCTTGTCCAAGAACGTTTCCTAATACACCAGGAAAATTAGCGAAAATAAAAGAGAAACTCGAAAAAAGTCCTATCCGCTAGATTATTGTAAAATTGTCTAAAGGAACATAATACAAGACATCTCTCGTCTCGTGAGTCAAAAACTTTTATTAGCTAACTTTTCTATTTAAACAAATAAGTGAGGAAAACAGTTTTTTCACTTTGCAGGGAAAACCATCAATTTTAGCGAAAAGTGACTCTCAGACAGCTTGTAGGGAGTAAAATTATTTACAAAACGAGACTTGTTAAAATTCAGTCATCT